GGAAGTCACTGGTATATACTGCTTAAGAGATGGTGGGCAGATCATGACTCAGTTCACAGAATATATATAGGGCTTATTATCTTACTAAAGGGTTGATATAACTAAGGGGGTGGGCTACTGTTAACAGGAAGTGTAAGGGAGGGAGATAGGATAGGGCAACATATGTCACTGCTGTCACACACAAGTTGAGGAGAACGCAAGAAGCATCTTGCCAAAGAGCGAATTAGATCATCTGTGAGTAGGAGGGATGTACGATCGAAGGAGCGGGGCCAGTGAACTTCTGGTCCACCTCACCGGCTCCGAGACGCCCCGAAGCCTAACCAGTCTCACTCGTCTCAGTGTCTCAAGGCAGTGAAGTGCCAGCGTTATGTCAATCAACCGGTTGGCACAGTTACCTCAGTAGCGCTGCTCCAATCGGTCCTGTCACTCAGGCTATCTTCCAAGATAGAAAGGAAAGGGAAAAGTAATTGGATTTGCTGCTAGCAGGGAAATGATGAAATGACATGAAACCACCCCCCCTTCACCCACCACACACACACCAACATTCGCACACCTATACACCGCTCTGAGTAAATCTCCCTCTTGCTTGCCTCTTTTTGTTTCTGAAATCTGGAAATACTTCAGGCTGTTAAGAGTTTCTTTTCATCTCGCCTGATGTGGCGAGAGCGCCTTGTTCTCCCAGGTAGACAAAAGAGGAGACGAAATGAGGGGTATGAAAGGATTTCCAGGTTTTTACTGAGATCTGAGAAGGGTTTTTTAGGATGTTTCTGGCCAACGGCACAGAAAGGCAGCCCATAGTGAAATTTCATGCTGTTAAAAGCTATCAGTACCCCACCTACACCTTGTCTCCCTACAAAGTGATGCACTGTGGTATTTAAAAGACAAATGTAATGATGTTCGACTCTGAAATACTGAGCAAAGAACAACAATATATAATGCATAGTATGCTGCTGCTGGATGGCAGGCATGGGACTGGTGGGTTTTGACTAGGAGAGAGGCAGCCCGTTCTGTCATCATGCTGTCTGACAAGAGTGCAACCCACATCCAACAAACTATTCCCTGCACCCAAAACCCACACTGTATGTCCGATATACTACATCCTACTGTACAGCTTTCATCTTACATCATACACCCTCCGTCTCATGTCTTTCATCTTGCAGCCCCGGGTCCCAAGTCTTGTATCGTAGTATGTCCTTCAACCTTCAGCACCCTCATCTTTTATCTTTTATCTTTCACTCTACATCCAACAGTTAATGGTAATCATGTGAAAAGATAATTTGATAAAGCCACAGTGGAGATATTCATGGCTTAAGTCAATGCAATGTTTTTAAGATTTGTGGCACCAGTTTGTTACTTTTGTTGCTCTTTTCTCACAACTGACATTGGAATCTGGTAAACACAAAGTGAGCAAGGCAACATCTACTTTTGCTTTCTTATTCACCAAGCAACAGTGTTTGGATAACATAAAGTGAGACTATTTACCATTTAAAAGACACAAATAAAAAATTAATACAAATTAAAAATTTAACTCAATTCGATACTTTTGCCTCACTATTTACTGTGTGTGGTATGATCAGTAGCTTACGATGGCTATTGTTAGCCCATAATAGCTAACTTTAAGATACTGTACATAGTGCCATATAACACGCAAGAGTCAGTTGCAATACCATTGTATATCAAGGTCCACTAATAAGCTTTTTCCAGAGCTTTCAACTAGATTTGTACATCCATTGTAATACATGCTATGTTTGCACATATGGTTGAAAAGGGCAACAACTTTTTTCATTAATCTGATTGGCAGATTCATTTACTGATTATTTTTTAAATAAATTGTTTGGTCTCTGAAGTGTTAGAAAATAGTGAAAATGCCAGTCACAATTTCTTGTATCCAATCTTGAAATTACTTGTTTTGTTTCTGACTAATAGCCGAAAAGTGAAACAATTAACCAGTTATCATTATAAAATAGTTTCTGATTAATTTCATGTTGAATCGTAAGTATGTCTTAAATCTTATATCTCATATCAGCATGCATAAAGCATCAGCATTTCGCCATTGTCTGCGTTTTTCTTATCGGCCACTAAATGTAATGGCTTTACCATATCCTAACAAAGGCCATACTACAGCATTAAATCCCCCAAAAATGAACCTTTATTTTAACACAGGGCCGTTAAAATTAATTACTAATAGAATGCTGATTTAGTGTAACTCGAAATTCTGAATCGACAAGGGCAACTACTGCAACAGTGTTAGTCCTGACATGCACAGTCTCTTTAAAGAGAGAAAGACATTAGCGCAACAGCAAATAGAGAGATTAGGTGGGTATTTTGCACATACATGCCGTGTGCTTAGTCAGTCAAGGCTTTCTGATTAGTCATGCTGATGTAAAGCAGCAGATTCACCCCATCTATCTCTCTGTCTCTCTCTCACACACACACACACACACACACACACACACCCAGACAAAGACACCATCACTTATCCAATGGACTGCCTAGGTTAAAGATTTACACTAGCGATTATATATTCATAGATCAATCAATACAGGGAGTCTAGCAGCCGAGACGTGTCCACGCAGGCAAACACACATGCGGCAACAGTCGCATTGTAAGAATCCTAATGAGCGTGCGTGTGTGTAGACATCGATGCGCTGCAGCTTTACATTTCATTAGGCCAAGGAGCACAGTTTAACTCCCAATGAATAGCAATAAAACCACACAGCCTGTAACCATCTCTCTCCATCTGCCTCAGCCTCGCTCTCTTTTCCTCCTTTCTAAATCCCAGCTCTGTTCCCTCTTCCTCCCTCCAAATTCTGTTAAGCACAAATCTAGTTCAGTCATTTAACAGTTGTTCTCCAATTTATCGGGAAAGACCTCATTTAAAGCTAAAGCTAATCACCTCCTGTGTCAGAGGAAAGACTTACCAGGCACCAACAAATGTAAAAAGCCTCATAAACTGGCTATGGGAGTAATCGCTGCTGATTTATTGCGATTGGTGTCCTGTCTCGCCGTTTACCCGGCTCATACAGACGACTGCCTGTTACTGCAGCATCTGCATTGATCTGTGTGAGGACACCGGCAGCCTCCACCTCCGTATTCACCTTCCTCCCTCCATCCCTGAGCACAGGAAGACATGCCGGCTGAGGGGAAATGGGATTCCGATCAGCGGGATATCATCCAGGATCTGCTGACCTCACACACACACAAATCATCTGTCTGCACACACGCACAGGCACAGAACAGGGGTCAGGCGCAAGGACTAGTGGGCTAGGTTTCAGTCGACTTAGCAAAACACCAGAGACAGGAAGCTGTGTAAGGAGGCGTGTGTGTGCGTGCACATTATCATAGCCTATATAAAAGCAGTTGACAGCAGCATTACTGCAACAGATATTCCAGCGACTGCAGGAACACACACGCCTAATGCTTAAACTGTCAAACTCGTATCAAAGATTGTAGCGGCTTTTGGTTGCCTTTAATAGAATATGACAGAAAGTACGATGTAAACACAAAGACTTCCAAACAAAGACAAAAATACACAAGCACCTACAAAATGATAGATGACTTAAAAGTATAGTTTAAAAAAAAAAAAAACTAAACAAAGAAAAACTCTGGGGAACAGTCTTGAAAACTTCTCAAAGTTAAATGCTGCCGACAGTGAAATGTGGCTGTAACTTCTTTTTTTATTTATTTTGTATTATGTATGTATTTATGCAATTATTTTTATCCTCAGGTAACTGTTTTATCCGGTCTCCAGAGTATTGGTGACACGGACACACTCACACGGAGACGTCCTGCTGAGGGAAAAAGTGGAAAAAACACAGAAGCTGCTCAGTCGGATCTCAGATGAAGGAGCAGCTGATTGGCACACACACTGTGCGGTCTACTCAACATGGGTACTTGAGAAGCACACACACACACATACTGTAAACCCACAGGCGCACACTGAAAAGGACTGCATGCTGTGTGTAGCCTATGCTGAACATGATGGGAAATTACCACTTGCTGGTGATTGAGGAAGGCACACAACAGACACACACTCGCACACACAGAACATTTCTTTCTTACCAAAGGTACTCAGGAGACACATAAGAAATCTTCTTCACCCACCTTATAGCCACTCAGAAACACTCCCTAGCTCTTGAAAACACTGTGACTAGGCCGCCAAGCAGCACTCTGCAAGATAAAACCCACACAGCCCCGGTGTGTTGAACAGCATGAGCTCTACACCCAAAAAGACAAACACACACGCACACACGCACACACGCGCACACACACAAACACACACACTATCTCGCTGTCTGAGAACGCTTGCATCTCCAGAGCTGTGACCTTACTTTTTTCTTCAAACGTATATGTGTCTTATTTGCTATGTTTTAAAAGCATTCAATGACAATGCCAAAGCAGTGAAAAGCCATTTTGAAATAAGACACATGCACACACACAGTATATATATATGAATATACACACATTCACAGCTGAGGTCTGCAAAGAGATTTCTGATGACAAAACCATTTGTCAGCAGTGCCAAAACCAATGACCATTGAAAATACATCATAAAATGACACAAAATTGCTTCAAAGTGAAAATGGTTTTCTGTAGAGCATGGAGACACACACACACATACATACACACATACACACTCAGTTTTGTACCCTAGCAGGAGCATTTGAATCCCCATTTTGGTCACGTTTTATTAGTTTTATGTCAGTTATAGCTGTAATTTATGTCTCACACTGTTCACAATGTAGAAGAAGCAGCCAATGACAAGAGTCAGAAAATACACCAGCTGAGATTACACCCCATTCACTGTAAGGTGAAAATCTTACACCTGCAAAACAGCATTGTTCTGTATCATTGCATTTTGCCTGTTTAAAGATTTTCTAGTCCTTTATTCTAAGTTAATACATCCAGGACTTTTTTAATGCTTTTACCTCACAACAGCATCTGAGTTAAAGAACAAACTAAGCACACGTACACACACACACAAACACCAGGGTGCCTACCTTCTTCATGCGTCCGCTGCGGGTGCCAGTGAACGCCACAGTGTGTCCGCGGTAGTCGTAGGCTGCCACAGAGGTCATGCCATCGTCCTTGTCCACGTAAAGCGGGATGCCCTCAATGGCGGTGGTGCCCCCTAGAGGCTGGTTGAAGTCCTGGCCGCAGAAATTATCGTCTATCTGCAGCGGCTGGGGTATTGAGGTGGGAGGGGGGGGTGGGTAGAAGGAGAGGAAGCCATTAACTCAACACATTAACACTTTTTAAATCCCTTTTCTCGTTAAACTAACATTAATTCTTAAAGAAGGAGGAGGCTTTCGATCTCCCCAGCACTTAGTGCACGTTTTATGGTGCTGGAGCGAAGCCAAGCCGCTGCAGATTTAGTGAGAAATGGTGTGAAATTAATGGGCGTCACTGGAAAAATTTGCTTCAGTTTCCTTCCTCCATTTTAAACTTTTTTGATAGACAAGGAGAGACAGTGATATATGTCTTTTATTAAGGACAAGCACAATCGAACCGGCCTCTGCGATTGATGCCTTCGTCCTCCATCACAGCCTTTGATTATTTCATAGTACATGATGTCGAACCAAGCAATTAAGCATCTCAGCATGGTTCGAATGGGTGAACAGTTGTTTGCTAATGTTTTAAATATTGATTTTTTTATATACAGCTTTGGCAGTGTAGTTTCTAATAAGAAACAAGAGACAAGAGCCAATAGAGTGAGTAAATCAAATGGAGCTGGAAATGAACATGGAGGGGAGAGCGAACACATGAGCAGGACACCGGAGGAGATGACAGAGAAATGACGGGAAGTAAATTATAGGTCAGATTAGCATATCATCATAAAAATGTCTCGTAAAGGCACATCGCCACGCTGATATGTCGATGTGTCACGCTTGATTTATGATTTATGTGTATGTAACTGTGTGTGTGTGTGTGTGTGTGTGTGTGTGTGTGCGTGAGTGACAGCTATGTAGACATCAGGAGGTTCCCCTCGACTCTGACATGTGTAGCAGAGCTAATCGACAGCAACTGCAATTACTGTGGCGACCTCAGAGGAGCACACTGGGAAAATACACAACTTGAGGTCCAAACAACTCTGAAAGGAGCTTGAACAGATGCACCTGCTAAAAAACATACACTACATGCATATGAATAATTCAAGTTTCAATCAAATGTGAAGCCAATTTAAACAGAATAAGCAAGAAAATACAAGTGTACCTTTTCATCGACTACTGTCGTAAATTTTAGGATTTGGTTAATCAAGAAGAACAGTTTGTGGTGTTAATTCTCCAGTCTGGCGCCTTTGAATCAGATGTGTGGAACTTTTGACTTAAAAATACTTTATGCCGTCCAAAGAAATAAGAGTTTGCCTCAAATCAGTTCTTTTCCCCTCATTTCCTAAAACAACTAACGTTAACGCTATTCATTCCCAGCAAGTTTACATTTAAAGGACTAATGGGTAGGATTTAGTGACATCTAGTGCTGTAGTTGCATATCGCAACTCCATCAATTCACCTTCCCCTTGACACTTGGAAGGGGAAAGTGAATTGATGGAGTTGCAATCTGAATCTACAGAGGCTGCGACACGTGCCAAAAACACCATTATCTAGATCCAGTGTTTGGTCACTTCTGGCCCACTGTAGAAACATGGCGGTTCAACATGGCGTACTTCATGGAAGGAGACCTGCATTATCTGTAGATTAAAACAGCTCAGGTAAACAACTAAGGTAACTAAAACTCAACAATTCTTATTTTCAGGTGATTATACACTAATGAAAACATCAAAGTTTTAATGTAAAGAGATTTAATGTAACTTAGAAAACAATGGCTTGGTGCAGGACTAGATGATATGATTAAAGGAGTGTCAGTCAAGTCTCAAATAAAGAAAAATTATGTTGGAAACTTGATGGAAATATGGCATTTATGGTTGTTCCATTTATTCATTTGAGGAGAGTTACAGTCTCATTGCTCCACACAGATGTGATGTTTGCACCTGCTGCTATTTCTCATCCCTTCCAAGGATGTTTTAGTGACATGCTTTGTGTACGTCATGATTCATTCGGTGTTTTGCGTTTTGTCGCATTTTAAGCTTTAGTGATACAGCCACATTTCCACCACAGCCAAGCGTTAAAGAAAAATTGCGATTGCTTTTTATTTGCCATAAAAACAGGTGAATGGAAACACACTTATTATGGGAACTCACATGCAGACATAAAACAAAAATTTAAAAATAAAAAGCAAAAGCAAAATATATATGAACAAAGGAAAGAACAAAGCGCGCGCGCACACACACACACACACACACACGTACGATCAAGCCTCCCACGCTTCACAAATTAACATGCCAGCTTTCACTTGTTCATTACAAGACATATCGTCTCCATAGAGACTAATCAATCACCCCGTCCCACCAAAACAGCAAAGCTGTCAGTGTGTGCGTTTGCGCACATAAGTGTGTGTGTTGCAGGTTGAGAAAAGCCTGTGGCGGACATCGTCATCGTCAGACTTTCAAAGGCAGCCAGAAACGTAGCAAAGTTGAACTTCGAAGAACAAAGACACAAAGTGAGACAGAGTGAGTGAGGGAGACGCAGACACACAACGCTTTGGGTTTTGTGTGATTTACATAAACATGTTTGGAACAATTTGGGAACTGTTTTGTGAGTAATTTGTGAGGAAGAAAGGAGACGAAAGGAGGAAAACAAGAGCAAGTAAACAAAAGGAAGGTAGGGAGCGGAGTGATAAAAGAGGAGATGGAGACAGATATGAAGAGGAGGGAATAAAAATGTGGAAGAAGAAGATGGGCAGAAGTAGAGAGAGAGAGAGAGAGAGAGAGAGAGAGAGACGGCAATATGACCCTGGCCTTGGGTTTCTGCCTTGTTTCCTCTGATAAAGACAAAGCAGAACCTCCATTCATTTCTGTCACTCATTTCCTCTTTCCTTCTTTCCCACTATCTCCTCCTACTGCTAATCCTCCCTTCCTTCTCTTCACTCTCTTCTCCTTTTCCTTCTCTGTCTCCACATATTTCTCCTCTCCCTTCCTCTTTTTTTTTTCTTTCGAGGTTCACAGGGACAAACCGGTGGGAAATGATGTCCATCCCAAAAAGGTTACTCTTTTTTTCCCCTGCTTTCCCATGCCTGCAGCTCTTAGAGACCGTCTTTCCTTCCTTCCTCCCTTTCTTCCTCCCTACGAGAGCATTTTCAGAATGAGCATTTATAGGTCACATGATTCTTAAGATAAACAACTACATGCAGTCTGCAAATAGGACAAAAAGAGAAGACTTTCATGGCATGATGGTCAGAATCAAGCCTTCTATCCTCTTTGTATCCAAAACAAATCTTTTAGAAGAACATGACCGGATAAAAAATAGTTTATTATAGTAGCTCATAATAGCATTATTTGGCCTGGATTTATTCATGCCCGGCGCCTCATACTAATCTGCATTCCCAGTGTCTGTCGAGCTCGCACACACAAGAGTGAGATCGCCATCTTCCCAGCGCTGTTGCCGGCATGCTGAGGACGCTAATGGTTTGTTATGTTTAGCCTGACTTGCATCATTACCATAGAGTCAACAGCTCAGATTGAGGCACAGTGGAGCGTTCAGTCGACGTGTTTTCACTGCAGACAAATGTGGCTTCACACAGACCTGACATCTGCTAGCTGTTGTGTGCCTTGTAGACATGTAATTCCTATGGTGTGCCTACTCTATCATTCCTCTACAGCAACTCATTGAGGAGACGCTTTTTCAGCCACCAATACGGTGACTGGAGAGTCTAATTCAATAGGGAAGGCTTTCATAATTTGATTGTTCATTTTGAAGTCAGGGAGTACAAACAGGTCATGCAATCCAAGCATTTTCTCCTGACATAGGCCTACATGTGACAGTTACTCATTCATGTTGCAGTGCATTCCCATCTGACACTCATCACACATGTTGCATGGAATCTTTTTACACTAAGATGCTTCATGCATCTTGAGCGGAGCAGATAGCTATCCAGTCTCAAAAAGGCTTAGTGTAAATGCATCCAAGAAGCATTCGAGACAGATTTGAAACCTCCAGGTGCATTCTAGCCAGATGTTGAAAAGGTATAAATGCATCTGTCTCTAAAAGACACACACACACACAAGCTTTTTACAGACTTAGTGGAACTAAGTCTGTGATAATAGCCACTGCCCCCTGTGACAATGGCAGCTAACACTGACTTTGTTAAGAAAATATTTTTTCTGAAAAAGGCATTCGTACTAAGCAAATGAAAACATTCCACTAATATTACGGTTTACATGCAGCAGTGCTTACTTTGATAACCGTAACTGTTAATGATGTACTGTACATCCTACAGAGGAATTTCCCTCCTTTCCAAACTGCAGCCACGTTGCTGACGTAGTAAAAGTGGAACAGCTAGAGCCACTTGAGCCATGTTGCGTCAAAAGAGGATTTCTTTTAAAGTTTCTGGCGGACTTGTTTGCCTGTGCAAACACAGCCTCCCTTTTTCATTCGTTCAATCACCCTCTTGAAAAGGTTGGTGTTGCGATATTTGCACATATCCAAAAACCTGTTGATATCCAAGTCTTTCATAATGTTTAAAAGTAGCTGTGTTTCTCCTTCCGACCAGAAACATGGGCTTTCCTCTTGTGCGTTAGTTGGCTAGTTGGTTTGTTAACAACGCACATAGCTGACTGTAAACGGGAAAAAAGCAGTGTGTGAAAAGCAGCTCCAGTGATTTTAACACATACAATTTATCTGATTCTTGACCAGGTCAACCACTAAATGATCTGCACAAGAATGTCCTTCTGGACCGAAGACCCTGATTTCTAGGAAGTCCAATAAAAGCAAGATGGATTGCAGTAAGCTTTGTAGTCTGGCTGATGGAGATGCATGCATGTTGCTATGTGTGTATGAGAATGTATTTAAAAAGCTTTTCCGGATAAAATACATTTAAAATTAATACTGTAAAAGGGGCTAATGATGGTCAGTCCACGCCTACTTTTGTCACGACACCCAGCAAAGGGCCGCAGGTCAGATTTGGACCCGGGCCACTGCAGCAACTCTGAACATGGGTCGCCAGCTCTACCGACTGAGCTAACCAGGCGCCCTATATAGCACCTTCCTTAACAATGTTATGTTTTACAAAAAGACATATATTAGAAATGCAGTTAAAGGCATTTCTAAGCATAAACGGAAATTGGGCA